CTGCAAAAATTAAACAAGTAAAATTTTCTTAAAATAAATAAAATAAAAAGTTTCTACAAAAAAAATACTTACTGAACATATTCCACATATTTTGAATATTTTAATATGTAAAAATTGGTAAAAAACAATTATGCCTTTTTTTTTTTTTTCAGAATATTTTACTTTGTGTCCTTCCCATCTCATAGCAAAGCATCACAGTTTGTGGGTACCATGTAAGAAATTGTGAAATAGATTTAAACATTCAAATCCGGCAGCTATACACAGTTTATTATTCTGCTAGTTAACTATAAATGTCACTATTGTTAATGCACTTCCAATTTCACTCATACTGGAATTGTAGCATTTATGTGTTCGCTTGTTTTTTCTAAATCTGTTGGCTGCACTGTTACTTTCTGTAGGCTACTGAGACAAAACAAACAGCTCTCTGTGGTCATTTAACAGTGAATGCTAAACAAGCTGACCCACAACTACAGGTGAACTTAGGTTACAGTGAAAGTTAGTTACTTGTTATGAAGTATAACTGTTTAATAATAACACTGGGTGCAGATCGAGTCAGAAACCATGTGTTTCACGCCTCTATAAGGTTGTTTTGACGTCGTTGTCGTTGAGATGCTAGTAGTAGTAAACCTCACGCAGATCAGCAGTAAAAACTACTTTCTCATCGTGTAAAATTATCACTGAAGAGCTTAAAACACACTGATAAAAACTCGCAGTTTCAACCTTTATCCATCACTGATTCGCTGTGAGGTAAAACGTATCATGCGGACATACTTACCTCGAATGAAAATAACTTTTTTCTGCTGTGCGGCGGTGCTTCCTCTTGACAAAATTCTGTTTGACATAGAAATGACTTCCTGGCCTCCCATTGGCTGAGGGGAAGCCAGGCTGCTTGTGATTGGTCAGATTCGGCACGGTGTTGAGAAAAAAAACTGACAGGAAGAAGGAGGTTCTCCAGCTTATGTAGAACAAAACAAGAAACTTATCAGTGAGTCTTTAGTTTTAAACAATCTGTATAGAATAAAGCAGAATATATAATAAGTGAGTTAACCACAAACAGTACAGAAGAGTTAAAATCACGTGTTTGGTTGGATATATTGACATGACAACACCGTTGGTTAAAATGTTGCCTCATTGTAACTTTCTCTACATCCTGTCTGTCCCATTAATTTGGCCAGAGAAGAACTGTACAGTGTAATTACAATGTCTGGGGTTTCCCTCATTTCCTAGAAGGACTGTGCATAATTAATATTCCATTAAAGAGAAAAGATTTAAGCCCTTTAATTATTGCTTTTTCAAATACATATTTTCTACCCTTGCATAAAAATTAAAGGTTGGGAGTATTATTCTCAAATTTAAATGTATGCATAGGTGGTCAGTTGCAAGTTACATTTAGTTGAGTAAACTTTTCTGCTTACTCCAGGTACTAGAAGTAACTAAAGGTGTTTGCAGATTAGGTGAAAATACAGTAAACAGTGTATACCGTTGATTGAAGTTCTGTATCATTAGCTATACGCATTACCTACTGTTAGGATATTATAAGTTCATGTTGTTTGTTTTTACGTTTCAACCTAATCATGCTTTTTATTTTTAGTTTTCTATTTTATGCTTAAAAAAAAAGCAGAATTTTCCCTAAACTGTTAGCCTGATTACATAAACAGTACATCAGATACTACTCAGTACTTGGATAGCCATTTTACAAAGTACTTTTTTACTCTTACTTATTTTTTTATTTTTTCTAAAGGAAAAAAAATAGTTTAAGTAGTGCTAAATAAGTAGCATAAAGGCAAGAGCTCATTAGCATAGCTTGACTACTACTAGAGGGCTAGTTTAGCCATTTCATTGAAGTTGGTAAGGCAGAGGAGATATCTCAAAATTGCAGGATATCGACTTTTGGTCTCATGGTTTATAGCAAACTAATAACATCTTCTTCTGGCTTTCCTCTTTAAAACATCTCGTGAAAATTCCAGAAACGTTAAAAAAAAAAAACAGACCAGTAGACTTTGTTTCTCAAGTTTGAAGACGTTTCACTTCCAATCCAGGAAGATTTTTCATTCCATTCAAATGTCTGGATTAGTGCTGAGTTCCAAGCTTTATTGAGTAGCCCAAAAAAAGCCTTGTTATTGCTTAGAAAACATGCAAATTGAACACGAAGAACGCGTCCGTCACTAAGGTTTTTGTTAGCCTGCAATACCCAGTACAGGCCCATGCGTCTGAAAAGGGAGTCGTTAGGGGCATTGTTGGCATGGCTGTCCAGGCGAGATGTCTTTGTCCCCTGCATAGACATGAGGATCAAGATGATAGCAGGAAGGAGTCAACTATCGCTGTGTTATAGGTTTTTGAGAGATAAAACCCGAGTTCACCCCCTCTGTTTAAGGTGATTTTCTCTTTTAACATAAATGGCTTCCTTCACTTCCATCCTGTGAAAACCATATTTGTAAAGGATATAACTCATGGTTGTCTTGTTGAACAATTTATAGGAGAAAAAAAAAGTTCTTTCTGGTTCATTTAGCTGCATTTAAACTAAAGAGCTCAAGATTAAAGTGATGAAGTTAAGAATGTCTGAATATTTTGTTAAATACATAATTTTATGCATATAATATTAAGACTTGAACTAAAGTATAAAGTTCTATATTTACAGCAAATTCCACTTGTCAATATACATCCTGATATAAATGGAGAAGAAAAAAACAAAAAAACTCCAGCATTTAGTGATAAATATATTTTTATTCATAGTAGACAAAAGAAAAGTCATAAAACTCCCTACAGGTGGAACCGTCCACATGGGAGCTTCTGTGGTTGACATGCTTGACGAATTTGAGTGTTTCTTTGTCCCTGTAGACAAGAGCGAGGGAGTTTTCCTCTGGATACACAGTCAGAAGCTGTAAGATGATGGAAGTTTATTAACGATACCCACAGATGTGATATGCAAGTATCTGCTTTTGGAAAAAGGTGACACTCACCTCCTCATCCTCCTCATTGGCAACATAACATGTTGAACCCCCAAACTCTGTCTCCCACTCTATGAGACATGAATTCAGTGTTACAGTGAAAGTCTTTCCTCTTACTCTGTTAATGTGTGTGACTCACCTGTGCAACCAAAGGGCAGGATTAGGTCCAGAGCGTACTCTGCCTGTGCAGCTTCAGCATCATGCAACAAAGTGTAACTGCCATGAGACCAGCGACGCACTTCTCCACAACACACGGGCGTGCTCAGCTCTGAAGAACAAAGATCCCAGCACATAAACAAACCTGTAGCTAAGCTAAAATCTGAACCCACACTTTCACATACTTTTCCCTCCATTGGACGCTCCAGCTGTGGATGATTCAGCTGATGTTCCTGCAACCTCTTCCTCTTCGTTATCGTGCTTCTTTTCCGTCTCTTCGTCCTCCTCATCTGCCGGACACAAGTAGTGCAGATGGAGGCCAGTAAAATTGGAGAGAAGCAAGAAGAAGGCTTCCGAGCGAAGCAGCTCCCAGCACTCGTTTACACACTCAGGCAGAGAGTCCAGAGATGCTGATTCATAGCACCTGGAATAAGATTAAGCATGATAATCCACTACCATGGTGCTAAAACATCCCGTCTGTCTAACCTCCCACCTTTTATTAGCCGGACCTCTCTTCATCCACTCAATGCGACTCTGTCGCAGAGCTTCCCTCACTTCCCTGAATTTCTCCTCCTGTGAAAGAAATATGACAATAAACATGGAAGAAAACCTGGAAAGAAGAAATGTGGAGAGGAAGGCAGAGGTGTTACCTTTAAAAAATCTTTCAGCTGTATTTCAGAGCTGTCTTCAAACTCTGTTTGAATCTGCTCTTGATGAGAAATATCCAAGTACAGGGGATTGATCCACTCAAACAGGACAGCTTCCTGTCAGGAGCAATAAAAGGCAGACTTTAGAGGATTGTTGAGTCATTTCATTCAGTGCTGAGACGAGCATTTGTCTGCACACTTTTTCTGTTTTTGCTTTTTTCATTATACTTAAATCAATCACATACTAAAACAAATTTTAAACATGAGGTTGTTTAAATATAGGGCTGGGCGATAGGGCTTAAAAATATAAGTCCAACTGATGAACGGATGTCACTCTGAGCTATGGAAGTCAAAGTAGTAGATTGATGGTTAAAAAAATACAAATAAATTGACCAAATATTAAATTTTCATAAACAGAAATTACAATTAATCTATTTTACTAATCACCCAGCCATAAATAAATAAAACATGAAGTTTTAGAATACATTCATTTATTAGGCTAAAAGGCGAACCTTGTTCTGAATTTACCTCTTTAATATTCACCATTCACACTCAGACCTGATTACTGCCAGTCACCTGAAATCTAGTGACAAGATAGACTATCAGCCATGAGAGAGTTTCAAGATTACAAACATTTGGGGGAACTTTTTGTAATCTTGTTGTAGAATAATACAACAACATTACTTTTGTGGAAATATTCAGCTGACTGACAAGACGAAGGTTTTTTTTTTTTTATGGGAGGCGTGTGTCTCATTCCATGGGCCATAAATCTAACACGTTATAACCAGAGAATATCATACTGGCAGTGAAACCTGGTGGTGGAAGTGTGATTATCTGGGGCTGCTTTATGGTATAAGTATCTGGACGACCCAATGGAATCCTAAAGAACAATCTCCAACCATCAATTAAGCAGAGGACAAGAATCAAAAGCACAACAGCAGATCCACATTTGAATGCCTCATTAAGAGATACCTCCTTTGTAACAGATTCAATTATATCTGCTAGATTTTTAAAATTAGATATGTGAAAAATCTGCAGAATTGGCCACTAATCTTATCAAGTGTCACTTTGATTTTCAATAGAATAAAACTCCTTTTTAATATGGTGCATGTAGTGTGTAGCTAGATTAACAAACAAAATCGATGGGAAACCTTAAAATGAAAGTGCCTGAAAACACGACTTATCACCGTTTCCCAAAGCACTCACATCTCTCGGTAAGTGAGGATGCTTCACGATGGATGGCTCCTTAAAACGAGGAGGACGCTCCAAAGAAGGTCCGTGAAACCAGCCGCTCAGGGAGAGACGGCACTTGTCTCGTGATAAAACTTCAGAAACCTGCAGAAAAAAAAAAATAAAAAATCAGAAACACTTCACCTTACCCTCCTATTTTAACCAACATGGCTTAATAAAACCCAAATACTCACCTGGTGAAAAGATACTGGAGACACCTCGAACAGTACAAGGGTGTTCCAAGAAGGTACGAGGGACTTCACTATTCTCTCTGGCTGGAAATTACCTGAGGATAGTAAAAGGCAGCTGTTATGTAACAATACAGCTGTAGACCCACATACACACAGGATGTGAGGTACCTACTGTCTGTGGAGTACAGATCCAGGGTGCCACCATCACTGCTCTGCCATGGAGGCACAAGATACAGAATGAAAGCGACCCTCCTCCCCTCCAGCTCATCATCATGGCACAAAAGAACATCTTAAAGATATAATAAAAAACTATAAACCACATGCAACAACCTTCTCAGATTATCTGGGTTTTTGGGTAAGTCTCACCTGTATATTCATATTTAGCACAAGAAATATCCACAGTGGGCTCCAGCTCGACGCCCAGGACATCCCCGAGCCAAGAGCGGAAACGCCCAAACAGGGCCCCCCTACAGAAGCAGAAACATTTCACATTGGACTCAATAGAAACCCTCCATAACTATAAAAGGATGACTGTTGAAATGCCCAAAAAGCCTGCCATGGCATTTGCTGCGGCATGAATTATAGATGATCACAGACAGAGGTGAGGGGGGGGCATCTCTTATTGTATATTTAATCGCAGCATTTAATCCCCAAGACTGGATTATATTAGTGGGTGTGAAAGCTTATAGTCAGTCTCTTATGGTTTTCTTTAAACTGACAAACAAAATGTTTGTTTTTATTATATTTTGGAAGCTCCTTCCTTCAAACTTAAGCTCCTTATTATAAGAATGTGCTGAGATATGGGTGTGACCACTTTTTAGAGTTCTGGATCAAATTTCCTTTATATACATTTCTTTGAGCCTCATGAGGATCACAATCTCACTTAAAATTTGGCCATTTATCTTTTGATCAGGTTAAAAATCTAAATCTCAAAGACACATACAGCCTAATTTAAAAAATAAAAATCCTTTATGAAAATGAAAGAGAGGGCTTTTTTTCTCTCTCTCTGAGGCCTGAAGCTATTATGGAAACAAAAAGACTATAAATAACCCTCTTAAAGAGTGACAGCATGCATCACCTGATTTTCCAGGTGAAAATTTTGATTTTTCCCTCACTATCATAAACTATCATCAACTACCTGTTGTGATTTAACTCTGCTCCTTTTAAGTTACAAACAATTCCTTTATAAATGTTTAGCATCCCCTTTTCATTAAATCACTTTAACACAAGAAACTATTCCTTGGGTACTAGGAGGTAATCTTTGGCGCCCCCTGGTGGACGAGATCACTAATCTCACATAATACATTTTAAAATCTGTAAATGAAAAAAACAGGCAATATGTGTGTGTAAATAAAAACAACAAACAAATCATATTACTTAAATCATATGGAGGCTTTAACCAATTATTTTGAGGCCATTTTGATCTAACTTCGGTTGGTTCTGTGTTGAAGGGACTCCCAAACTGCTGCTCATCATAGGTCAATGTATCTTTGGGTTGCTTGATTTTCCTTTTAGAAATGCAAAGAAGATCAGTTTTTTTGTTTTTGTAATTGTTTTTGTTTTAAATTAATTTCATTTTTTGTTACTCTAAATGGAAAACAAACAAAATTGTTCTCTAAATTCCACATATTCCTTTTTTACACAGAAAAAGAGAAAAGCTTTGTGTTTTTATTTTTATTAGTAAATGTTTCCTGTCATTTTTTCTTGTGAAACCTAAATATCTGGATCAGCATTTTTTTCAAGCAGTCATAAAAGGATAAAAACATGAACATTGTTTTTTTTGTTGTTGTTGTTACCAATATTTATTTTTATTATTTTTACTGGTGAGCCGTGCTTTAAACAATTTAATCTGTGTCAGGATAGCAGCAACTGTATTAAAAGAAATTAAAGTTTCATGTAGAAATAATCTCTGTATTAGAAAAAAAAAACTGCAAGAAAAGCATAGTAATAAAATCTGTGGGATTTTTTCCTTTTAAAGTGTCTAGAAGTCTCCTCTTTTCATCTAGGAGACATTTAGCTGAATTCAGCCATCATTAATGCACCTTCTGTGACACTGGTGTAAAGAGGTAAAAGGTTTAGATAGGAAAGATTGATAACAGTAAAAGTAGGTTTATGTCTCTGGTATCAAGGATAAGCTCTGGTGCTGGAGCAAAGAGATTAATCAACCATTAAATGTCTCATTGTGCGTCTCCTCTGTTTAAACCTCACATCTGAACAGAAACAAGAACTCTAGAACCCTAGAAACATTTCTAAACACATTTAGCCACTTTGTATAAATTTTAATGTCCCGTAAAAACCTGTAAGATTTGATTTTGTTACCTCACTGCTGCAATGTGTGGCTCCTTTCTCTTCTTCAGATCATCTGACTTGAAGAGATGGGGGAGGACGAGATTATCAAAACGAAAAAGAAAAAACATATCTACTGCAATAAACCAGTATGATGAATGGGTTACCTGTTTAAACTTGTACAGATCATTTGACTTTTCATTGAAGTTGAGTTCCAGCAGCTCTCTTTGTAGGCTTTCAACAAAGGTTTGGCTCCTGAGGAAGTTCTTGATTATGCAGTGAGGGAAAGGATGGCAGTCCAACTGCAGGTCCCCTGGACAACAATCCCACATGGAGAAGTCAGTCAAGTGTTTTCATATTTCAGAATTCAATCTTTTGAAAACTAAAGTAGAGACTTTAGGATTATCTGCTGGTGCAACCTGCATCTATAAATACTTCATAACAGATAATCTGGAACTGAGGTTCCCAAACATATCAGCCTGTCAACCAAAAATTAACATTAACAGACTGGTGATTCCCTAAAAATACAGTTAGCCACTTCACAATATAATTATTAACACAAAAAAGTGAAAGAATTATATTCATTTTAAAATAAATGTATTCTTTAATTACATTTAACTATTTAATTCATAATAAAAAAACATTTTAACTATCTTACGGTATATTTAATTATTCAATTGTGCATTTTAGTGCACATTTAATGTTTGAATCATGTATTAAATTGATAAATACATTTCAGATAAATCAATATCCCATCAGCTTATTTTATAGTATATTTATTTATTTCATGATAATTTTTGGCCCTCTATATTACCTCATATCACAATAAATGTGACCCCACACTTGGTGTCTTGCAACCCTGACTTTTGAAACCCCTGATCTATAGCCCAATGACTCCATGTGTCAGTATGGAATCCCAAAATAATCAAAAATGTCGAGAGAAAATAAAAGACTAAGATTTAAGGTTTATTGGATTTTAAAAAGCAAAAAGAAAAACTAAAACAACAAATTTTTACTCTAAAAAGAATGTCACTAAGTTGCATCTGATTGAATGACGAGACTTTATGAATGTTCATTGCACAATTGACACCAAAGTGGAAATGCTGGCTATAAACTATATACGTGTGAGCACATCAAACGAAGGCGCTTATTTTTACCTTCATGTGTTGTTTTATTTTTAAAGAATGTTGTGAGATGGTGGATTTAGGTCATGATGCCTATGTTACACACATTCATAGGGAAAAGTAGTCAAAGCCCAACATTAATCCAAAAAATAAAATAAAAAAGTGTTTCTAATGTACCCTCCCTAATTCTTGGCTCCCATCTGTCCCTCTAGGAAGTGCCACTGGATTGAGTTAATAATGGCACCACAAATGTGATCAGAACCAGCATCAGTCCACAATAAACACGGTTTGCTCCCCTAACCTTTGCTGTAGTGGACCCTGCTCCTCCATGCCTCCTTCACTGCTCCCTTCACCTCTTCCTCCTCCACAGCCCCACAGAGCTCCACGGTCTCCTTGCTGCTCCTCTTTTTCTTCTTCCCTCCTGTCTCACCGCTCTCGTTCTGCGGTCGTTTGGAGCTCATAATAGAGAAATCTCTTTAAATAAAAAAAAACAAAACAAACGCCGACAGCGTGTACGGGCAGATTGAAGCGGTGTCGCGGATAAATTACGTCAGATTCTAGGAGTCTGACGTCAAGTTTGGCGACCGTCATGGAGAAAAAAAAAACATAGGGGTAGATTTTAAATACACTGTAAACTTATCTTTTTTTTTTTTCTAAATATCCACTTTAAATTGTTTGATTCTTTTGAGAGATGTTCTTCTTTAACCTGACAACAACCTGACGAGACATGCATCTGGCTGTTGTCAGGTTAGTTCTTCCTTGCTATCAGCACCAAAACATGTTTAAACAAAAAATATAGTTTCCAAAACAATTGTTTATAATTATAATTAAAATATAATTCCCGTTTAAATCTGCGCTGCTGTAGGAAATCATATTGAACTGCAATAGGATAAAAAAAAATCTCAAAAGACAAGCCCAGGGAATTATTGCATTTGCATATATTTTAATCACTATTAAAAATATGTCACCTCAAGAGTTTGTGTTTTAGATAAGATTACTTACTGTAAAATGGGTTATATAGAAAAAAAACTGATGGAACTGTAACTATACAGTCATATGCTTACATCATTTTTTTCATCACAATGTTTGTATCACTGCTGTTTATCTGCACTTTAAAAAAATTCAAACTCTAAAGAGCTGCACTTAACAAAATTTCTTTTTGTTTACACTTGTGTATACAAAATGACAAAATAAAATCAAAGATTACTTGCATAAATGTGTCAGTTTGAACTACGGATTATGGAGGTCTGTCCCTTTGTAGCTCAGAAATTTAAGATTGCACTTATTTGATGTAAGGTTTGCATTTTCATGCCATCACCTGGTTGGTACACATTATAGTCTGAAACAAACCAAGGAATTGTGCTAATATAAATAACGGCACACATTTCTAAAAAGCATTTACAAAGTAATAGTGTAATCTTTATCTCTACAGCTTTATAAAGTTTCATTGTAGAGGTCATAATAAATCTTGTTACTACAATAAGTGGGTTAAGCATTTTAAGACATTTTTTCCTGCTTTTTAAAGATCCAATTACTTTATATTTTAATAAACTTTGCAACGGAGTTACCAAACTGTAGCACTGCATAAAAGGGAATTAGTAATTAGGTTTTCCATCAAAAAACCTTCTCAGCTAAGGAGAGCAGTCTTCAGTATATAAAATCTGCACCTATGATCTTAATAACAGGCATTTGTTTCATTGCGATGTATATTCTAAGTCCCTTCACTGTATACAAGTTTATGAATTTCCTTTAAAAGAATCTGAAACAGTGCTCATCAACATACAAGATCTATAAACTTTATAAAACTTACTATAAACACAACTTTATTTTAAAAAAGACAGCGTGGGTACAGGTTTAAACAACAGGAAACGCAATGTTGTATTTTTTTTAATCAAACATTGGCATCTTTCAGGCAAACATAAAACCAGATTCTGACACAGACCTGCATACTACAAAAAGTTGCAGTTTCACAAGTTTAAAAAATAAAACAAAAAAAAAACAACTCGAACATAATGTTTTGCTCCTTACAATAGCAATAACACCCCTGCAGATATTTTATTTACCATTCATGACAGGTGTTTGTATTTGTAAAAGATAGAGAAGAGATGGAGTCCTTTTTTTCAGCACAATGCCTCTCTGGCTGCACTCACAGAGACAGCCACACCGCTGCTTGGGTTAGTTGTAGATAAAGTTGAACCTAGGAAAAAACAAATAAAAAAAATAAATTTTGACATCTTTAAAACTACAAAAAACAATAACTGTTTATTCTTGAACTTTTAAGTTCAGCCTATTTTTTTGTCTTTTCTTTTCCTTTTTTTTTTTTATTATTTAGTCAGTATGCTCCTCTACATTCATAGTTGTTTGTATCTCAGATTTCTGATGTATAGGGGATAGAAGATTGCATGAATTGCAGAATGATTGCAGAAAGCAGGATAAGTGATAACTCAGAATAAAGTTCTGGGGTTAAATTTCCACATATCCTGCATTTTCAGTTTCAGAGAGCCAAATGGCTATTATTCTGACTCCTTCCTACAGCAAGTTACTCTGTGAACCAACTCTGGTCGGTAGCAAGATTTAATGAACTTATCTCAAGTCCGTCACACATTTAAGTTGAAATCTGACAGGAGGAGGGCATTAGAAATAGCATGCCCTTCACTGGATGACGTCACCTTTATCACTGGCAATAATAAGGCCAAAGAAGAAAAAAAAAAGATCATCATGTACCATAAAGCTGCATAATATCAGCTTAACATGTGACAACGTTGAGCCAAGTGTTAATGTGACTAGCTATGTTTCCACTACAAATGTGTGCAAAAATATAATGATATTCTGTGAATCTCAAAAATGCAATTTTTGTATTTCCATTAAATAGCAAATACAATTGAAATTGCCCATCAATTATACTTTGGTTCCCAAGATAACCTTACAAACAACATGGCAGTGGCAGATTTATCCATATTTCAGCCACTCCTCTGATGGGCACCCTCAAACTCCAACTACGTCCAGTCATCTTCTTACGAAGCAGAAAGGACCAGTTACAGATTGAGTGACTTGTGATACGAAAAATGTAGTTTAGCTAAAATCCGAAAATCCACCTAATCAAAAGCATAAAAACTTGATAAAAAAAAACAAAAAAAAAACAAAAAACTACTAGTTGCACAAGTTCTTTATCTGATCAATAACTGTTTTCTCTTATTCTTAAGACTATATTGTAGTGTTTCTAATCCGCTCAATTTGTGTTTCTGTGCATCAGTACCTTTATCTGCGCAATTGTTAATGATTATTTGTCAGCTGCTGTGAGTTTTATTATATCTGTAAATTATTGTATGTTTCCTTTTTTTTTCTTCCTTGCTATAGTTTAACTTTAAAAATTTTCTTTTTTCCATATTATTCAATATTTCTTGTACCTGTAACTTCTCTGCTATCTGCTTGTTTTTGCCACTGTCACCAGAATTTCCTCTCTGTGGGCAATTAAGGTATTTCTGTGCTATGCCACTTCAGGTGTATTGTGATCCAAGCATTTTTAGGTTATATTAATATAGTGTTTACTGGTATTGTGGCGGCAATGAAATTGAGATATTCTGTGCGGCTCTAGCCGATAAACCCTATTCCTGCCCCATAGAACAACCTACAGGCACATCATCCGCTACCTTTAATGTTCAAGAAACTGATCAAACACTGAAGTCTGATTCGAGGGGTCACTTTAGGGTGACTGTTAAAGAACCAGCTGACATTAATTAGCATTTAATCAATGGAAAAAGTGCCTGTTTACGTATATAGCAACATGTTAACATCAAAATTACACTTCAAAAAATAACATACAAGGATTGTTATTTGTGTATATTTTTTCCTAATGAAAATATGATTTAATTAAGTCAAATTTAATCAGCTAATATATAAAACTAATCTTTACCTGCTCAATAGCTGTGGTAGACTGGAAATGATTGGTCCATATCCAGGGGCGTTGTCATACAACTCAAACAATGGAGCGGCGACCAGCTTATAATTTTTGGGAACGGCGAATAATGCTGTGAAAATATTAGTTACAGATTTCAAATGTATGAAGAATCTGTGACATTTGAGCCTCGTTTGATATTAAATGGCATTATTTGACAACAGTTCTCACGTTACAAAGATACAAACCTTTCTCCTGCAGCTGGACCAGGAACAGCTTTTTATGCTCCTTAGGTTTAGTAATATGAGCTGGAATATACGGGTACTGAAAGATTAAAAAGCACCAGATCAGTTCTCACAAGCAAAAAACATTGATTCAAATGTTCAGTTTATCAAAATAAAGACTGTAATATCAAACAAACCATAAATCTTTAAAGTGTTGCTCTCCGAAAGTAATTTCTGTAATTAATGAGGCATATAGCTGTGTATTA